TGTTTATTTTAAGGCTCTGGTCTCTATAACACATGGATTAGATTAGAGATCTGTAAAGTTTATTTCCCTTACATGCTCCCTAAAAAATTTTGGAACAACGGTTCCTACTTGTATAAAGCTGACATTGTCTAACTTTGTTTTTATTAAAGGTCTAAACGGTTGCAAAGAATCCAGCACAAGTATTCATATTTAAAAATATACCCCATTGTGTCCATTTTTAGATGAATCCAATGGAATCAGTGACACTATTATCCATTTAAAAATTAATAACCGAATTCCCCTTTGACAGTTGAAAACTTGACATGTTCCTTTTGAACCTGTACTTCCATTATACTTCCCTCACTGAATTATAGCCTCATATAAAATTTTTTATACTGGAAAACATTTTATCGGTCACCTTACTATACTTCTTTGCAACAAAAATACGCACATAAACTTAAATGACCTTTTAATTACCTATGACCCTAGTGCTTTAAGTATCTAAGTATCAAAGATTTCTTTTGGGTTAGGGGATCATTACAAATATTATTAATACCCAGTTGTCCAAAACAATATAAATGCATTATAAATGCTAATAATTATTTAATTTAAAAAGTAAAATTTTATTAGAAATGTATGGGACTGTTTTTCTTCCCTTATGTATTTTCAAGGAACAGATATTATTTACTTCTAAAGGATATGATTCAGCATAAATTCTATTCCCATTTTTTGTTTTGTACATGTGTTGAGAGGGCTTACTCACATAAATGAGTAGATGAGAATGGATACAGTCTGGCTACAGTGATGCCATTAATTTCTCTGAATTCCTTCTGAGTAATTTGTCCCAGACCACACAGTGATCTGTCATCAAAAGTGATTTGTCAGTGATCTATCAGCTGACCAGTAGATTAGAACTTTCTATTTTTATTGAATGGAAAAAAGTGGAAACCTCCTTCAGTGCAAAAGGGAACATTACCGAGGCATTTGAATCACTCACTTACGTCAACACCCTATTTCAAGTGGTCGTTCTTTTCCAGTCCTTCAAAGGTTCTGCATCCTAGCAATGTACTCTGTAGCAGCGATACTTGGGATGGAAAAGAAGGATGCTTTTCTTTTATAACGTGGGTGTAGGTGATCAAGGAGGCAGCAGGATATTTTCAGAAGCAGGGCATTCTCAGGAAGACAAACTTCAGGCAAATGTACATGTGAAGGTTGAGAAATGTAAAATTTCCTTAAAACTATCTGCTCCCACATGCCCCTCTGAGAACTGTCGTGTCCCCCTAGGTGTGTGTGTGTCCCTCCTTGAACCTGCTGGGCTAGACTGATTTCGCCCAGGCAAGTCCTTGAACCACTGAATAAAGAAAAAGAAAGAGGGGTGAGATGTTGGTAAAAAGAGACAGAGAGAGCGCGAGAGATTCAGAGACAGAGAACTCCATCTTCAAACTAAACCATTCGATGACCAGTCTGCCATATACTAAAGGCATAACACATTTCAAATGAGCACAAGCCACATTGTCTAAATAACCAGGGAGAAAAAGTGGTCCACTCAATCCGTAATACTGGAATTATAAATAAATCTTCAGCAAGCCTCACGGCTCTTTCCTTGATCTCATGAGATTGCCAGCCATTTATTTCAGCGGTGTTTCTAGTGACTCTCACAATACTTCTCCCACACAGGGGCACAAAAGAATGACAGGCGTCATGTTTTCGTTTTAGATTTAAGAGATCTGAATGGAAAAAAAAAAAGTGGTTGCCTTTAAAATAACTGCCCTGAGGGCTTGGGTAACTCCAACGTCCTTCAAGCATTGGAAAATGAAATTAAATGGGACAGGAAAGGAAAAAAAAAAAGATAAATGAAACAAGCCACTTACAATGAGAGGACCCCGGTTGTTTTCTCGATACTTGTTCTGGAAGAAAATGTAAACGACGGTGGCGGCCAAGGAGTAGAGGAAGGCGAAGACGGCGACGGTGACGAAGAACTCGGCCGAAGACGAGGAGTCGCCGATCAGGGCCACCTTCTGCCGCTCCTTCCCCTCGCAGGTGGGCACCTCAAACGTCACCTGGTGTAACCTAAGGTACCAGAGAGGAGACGCTTTAATGCTGCGGAGAGAAAACTTGATGCCATAGGTGAGATGTGATTTGGGACCTTTGTGGTGTGTCTCTGGGACAAGCTTGCTAAGCGAAATTACAGGGATTGGAGTTGGTGTCGTGGACGGGGACACTGCAATTACACATCATTCCACTGGGTTCCACCACAGCTAGTCACCTTAGAGAGAGGGGAGAAGGGGAAAGGGAACCTGAAATGATGGAGGATTAGACCACATCTCTCCGCTTAAATTCTCCAGTGCTTTCTCATCATACTTGGACTCAGATCCTGACTCCTAAACGTGACCCATCAGGTCTCCTACCAGGTCCAGGGCCTTTTCGCTGGCTGTTCCCTTTTCCTTAGTCACTCTGTCTCCTGACATCGCCCATGACCGGCTCCTTCGTGGCCTTCAGGTGACAGCTCAAACGTCATCTCCTGGAAGAGACTTTCCCTGACTGTTAATCTAAAATAGCTCCTTTCCCTTAGACATTTCTACCTCATCACCCTGCTCACCGTCACTCACAGCTCTCATCACCAGCCACACGGCCTTAGTAATGTATTTAATTAGTTTTTTTTTTTCCTATCTCCACTTGTCAGGCACTCAGTAAATAGGACCTGGATAAGTGTACACTCTTGATTCTGTAAAAGATGACTGATAAACCCTAACCTGATTGAGCTTTTAGAATTTCTATTTTAGAGGATAAATTCTATCAGGACAGCACTGAGGTTCAATGTATTACTTAATAGAAAACAAGTTAAGACTTTGAAGGGCAATATTTCCTGCTCAATAAATAACGTCTAAGGAAAATGTGTTACACCCAGTATGATAGCTCACACTGTGAACTGGGTGGTGATCTGTAATTCAACACAGAAGCCAAAATTCTGCTTCTTCAGAGATGACTAAATTATTCCTTGGGTATGAGGGAGGCACGCAGAAATAGACATGAATAAGGTTTAGCGATACCAGTAAAGGGCCACCTGGAAAATTACCTACAAAAGTAATAATGATGACAAAGCCTTTGATGAACCTGATAAAGTCCCAACTTATGCTTAAGAAGTATTTCTCTTACTAAGCAAAACTTGATTCCTTTAAAACGGATTTGTGGGGCACATTCTCTCACAATTTAGGTAATAACAAAACGGTAAAACAGTAATGCCAATTGCAACTGACATATTGGTGCGTTTATGTGCCAGACATTGTTTTATTTAATGCTCACAGCAGCCCTGTAAGTAAGTTCCTTCCTTCTCAGAAACCTATTCTTTTAAAATTACTGCTTGACTTGAGAACGCTGTTTACATAGTCCACCTGATTTTGCTTGTGTATACTGAGACTCCTCCTGTTTCTAGTCAACCAGAAAAGTGTACAGTTTCGGTAACATTCAGGAAAATAGGGGGCATTCATCATGATTATACTGTAGAGATCCTCTCGTCCCACTGCCAGAGATATTACAATATTTTTTAATAGGTTGGCCTGTGGGCATGCTGAAAAATGAAATAGATTTAAAAGGTAATCATGCCAATTATTTTGATATTCTAAAGTGATTTTCAAATAATGTACCTTTTTTTTGGTCTCACTTACAATGTGTCATCTGTTCAACACATTTTTAACAAGAAGCTCTGTCGTTCACACAGTGACTAGATTCTGGGGGTAAAGTGGGGAACAAAGATAGAGGTGCTGATCTCTGCCCATAATGAACTTAAAGATTAGAAGGAAAAGAGATTTTCTAGGAGGAGCCTCAGGCTAGTCTGGGGGTGGGGTGGTCAAGGTAAGATTCCTCATGGGAGTGATTTTTAAGCTGCCACTTAAAAATGGGTAGAAATTATCCAGATCAGCAGTTATGAAGAAAAGCACAATGAAAAATGATTTCACAGCCACTAGGATGGCTAGAATCAGAAGGATTATAAGACTGGAATAACAAGAGTTAGTGAGATTAGACTGGACTAACAAAATGAAACTGGAACAGTAAGTTTCAATGAGAAAAACGGGAACATTCATATATTGTTGGTGGAAACATAAAATGGGTACAGCTACTTTGGAGCAGAGCCTGGCCATTCTTCGAATAGTGAAACATAGAGTTATCATATGATCCACCAACTCTAATTATAGATGCATGTCCAAGAGAAAAGATAACATTTCACTGCATAAAAGCTTGTACAAGATTGTTCACATCAAGGGTTACTCATTAGAACCCAAAAAGTGGAAGCAACCCAAACATCTGTCAGCTGATGAACGGACGCATGAGACGTGGTATATCCAGGGGATGGAATATTATTCGTCAATAAGAAGGAATGAAGTGCTGGATCATGTTACAGCATGGACGAGTGTTGAAAATGTGACGCTAAGTGAAAGAAGCTCATCACAAAGGGCCACACGTTGTGTGAGTCTATGTATATGCGATGTTCAGAATAGGCACATTTATGGAGACAAAAAGTAGGTTAGTGTTTGCCTGGTGCTGATGGGGGTGGATTGGGGATGATGGCTAAGTGGTACAGGATTTCCTTCTGGGGTAACGCAAATGTTCTAGAATTGACTGTGGTGACGGGTGCACACTCTGTGAATATATTAAAAGCCATCCAATAGTACATTTAAAATGAATGAATAGTACTGTATGTGAATTATATTTCAAAAAGCTGTTAAAAACAGGTATAAAAGAGCATGTACCAAGATCCTGCAGAGACAAGCAGTGTAGCATATGGGAGAAGATGAAAGATAGCTTGGGGGCTGGAAGATGGCAGGAAAAGGGATGAGTGATGAAGGATGAGATGGGAGAAGAGGCCAGGGACCTTCACTGCAGGGCCTCATCGTAGCTTTGGGTCTTTGCCTTTTCACTCTCTTAACAACTTCCATATATAACATATAATATGTTATGTTTTTCGTGTGGTACAATACATCCCTCGTACGTATTTATCTTACAGCTGGAAATTTGTAACTTTTGAATGTCTTCATCCAATTCCCCCTCCCCCTCCTGGAAACCCCCAATCTGATCTTTTCTTCTATGATTTTGTTTGTTTGTTTTTGAAGTATAATTGACCTACAACGCTAGGTTAGTTTCCGTTGCACAACATAGTGATTTGATATTTCTATACATTCCAAGATGACCATCGTGGTAAGTCTAGTTATGATGTTACCATACAAAGACATGACATAGGCATTGACTATATTCCCCACACTGTACATTTCATACCCATCCCTCAGTTATTCTGCAACTGAGTGTTTCTCTTAATCACCCTCAACTATTTCTCTCCTCTCCCCACCCTCTTCCCTTCTGGCAATCACCTGTTTGTTCTCTGTATCTATAATTGTTTCTGTTTTGTTACACTTGATCATTTGTTTTATTTTTTAGATTCCACATACGAGTGAAGTCACACAGTATTTGTCTTTCTCTGTCCAACTCATTGCACTAAGCATAATGCACACTAGGTTCATCCATGTTGTCAAAAATGGCAAGATTTCATTCCTTTTTGTGGCTAACATTCCACCGTATATATACACCACATCTTCTTCATCCTTTCATCTACTGGTGGGCACTTAGGCTGCTTCCGTATCTGGGCTGTTGTAAATAATGACACAGTGAACATGGGATGCATGTATCTTTTCTACTTAGTGGCTGTTTTGTTTTCTTTGGATAAATACCCAGGAGTGGATCTTTATTTGAAGACAAAGATCGGAAAGATTTTCTTAAACAATATGTAAACCAAAAATAACAGGCAGGGCCGTGTCATCTGTTGCTACTATTTAGAAACATGCACACTTGCTTCCTGGGTGTCAGGATCAGCGGTGCTTCCAACACGCCAGCTTCCTCGGCTAACACGCACAGACTTCCTTGGTCTGCGATTTTTGTCTCCAGTGAGAGCAGCAGGGAGAGGGAGAATAAAATAATTTTCTTCTACGCAAACAGCTGAATATCAACATTTTCCTCGTTGCTAATTTACTGTATTGATTTACAGTAAAGCGTTAATAGTGTTCATCGGCACAAGACAAAAAATAAAATAACTAACAAATCTGCTGCGCTTATTAATACCAATGATCTATAGCTTCGTATCGAGCCCTCGAGCCACATGGGGTAAAATCAGGAGCAAGAGAGGAAATGGAAGTGAAGCTCTAGGCTGGTGCCTCTTCCGTGGAAAGGAGTAGGGATCGTTTATAAAGGAAGAGCATGTCAGCACAAAATAGTCTGAGCATAATTGTTCACAGCACTGAGCATCTTGAATGCTATGCAGTGCTATATACTGCTAAATATATACATTGTACTAGAAAGGCTCTTCTAGGCAGCAGCTACATATAGATGTTTTATCTTGGAGGGAGAGATTTTATAGTCAGCGTGCATTTAGCAGCTATGGTAACTTTGGAAGCAAATATCATTCATTTAGAACCTAAACAAGGGGGAAACTGTTCTGTACAGATACAGTGTGTTAGGTGATGGAATCTGGAAGTTGGTCAGGACTGCCTCTGATCTTGTGAGGAACCAGTCAGGGAGCAACTGCTGAGCCCGCAAAAGGACCAAATCCAATTTGTTGATTTTAGATGTATAATTCCATCCTCGGCTGGCCTGACTCAATCAAGGGGGGACTGAATTTCTTTGGGATTTACTGCATTGTGTCTGTCTACAAAAACCCCTCCATGTTAGAGCAGGTTTTTTTTCTTTCTCTTTTTAAATTTTTACCAACACTTAAAAACAGCCTTTTAAACATTCAGCTCCTGCTTCAGTTGAACTAGAGGAGCTGCTGGATACCCACAGTGTTAAGTTCTGTTTGGAGGTCTTGAAAAAAAAAATTAAGCAAGTTGCTGCTGCTTTATTAATGAAAATACTTATGACAACAACCCACCAACATTTGCAACCTCCAGACACTGTGCTAGCTTCTTTACTGACGTGTGTCTCAGTTGAGGCTCATAACAACCTTCTTGCACAGGTGCTAGCATTATCGCCATTATACAGATGAGGAAACTAAGGCTGGAGGCAGTGGGCTTGCCAGAGGGAGGTCA